GGTACCTCCCTTTTTCGGTATTTTGTTGATTCTAGTGACATTATTCACTGGAATTTGGTATTTGAAGTTCGTAAATGCTACAGACAGAAACATTTCTGATTTTAGCGACATTATTCACCGGAATTGTTTCAAATTTGGTGTTTGAAATTCGTAATGGACACTACACCCTTTGACAGAAAATTGTCGTGCAGGTCCACGTCTTCGTATAGCCCCAATACACCTAAGTCTGTTTTTACACGGTAGATTGGTTCCACAAGAAGCCGTGTAAAAAAAACCGTGTAAAAAAGACATTGATTTTATGGGTGATTTGTTCCTAATGGGTGATTTGTTCCTAATTTCTAAAACCTATTAAAATTAGTGAAAAACAAGAATTTTTAAGAACAAGAATTCATGGCTATTTTATTAAATCAAATATATAATGCTTGTGCTATTCACATTTGCTTTGACCAGTAAAAAATGTTTGTACGCGCTAAAGGGGAATTCACTTAAATCTTTAAGCTAATGTTCGCAAACTATTGATACTATCGATGGTTTCAGACTTTTTTCTTTCATAAATACTTTTTTGTGATATGAACATACTTCGCAAAAATTAAATTTGACAAAAAAAAATTAAATACATAAAATTTCAAATCGTGCTAAATGGAATAAAATCGTGTAAAAAAATTAAAAATATTCAATTTTCAAACCGTGTTATATCAAAATCGTGTACAAAAAGACAGTGTAAAAACAGACTTAGGTGTATAACGATACCTCCTTATATTCGGAATTCTGATGATTTTTTATACCCTACACCACAAGGTGTACGTCTATATGAAATACACTCTGAAATGTCAAACTGGGACACATTCAGTCTGAAATTGTGACAGAAACATGGACAAAGTACGAATATTAGAAAGTAGCACGGGACCGAACATTTGTTTAATCGTTATTGAATTATACTATGATGAAAATATGGACTTTATGGGGATTTCATATGACAATATGGCAGTAAAATACCGAACATAAATAGGCCTATAAAAATGGTAGAGCGAATTGAAATTTTTGTAAGAAAAGGATTCCTCCTGAAACCCTCAAATTACTTAAATCGCAGGTAATTACATTGTGCAACAACCAATCTGGAGGTTGGGAAATTCTAAGTGGATAGTTTTCTGTTAGTAGATCAAACTCTCAAAAGGTTTTTGAATTCCCAGGCCAAACTTTTGTAAGGCCCATAATGCCATAACTATACACAAATATTTTGATATATACTTCGCAAAATTTACGATAGAGTTCTAAATTTGATACAGTCTTATGGGTTAAATGTATAATCATTTTTAAAAAATACGGTTCATGTCGGACAACGTTTTCGTGTAGCCCCGAACCCTTATCAAGTATTTTTTATATTTTGGGCATATTTTTTTTGTATATCCTTCATATGGAGGTATCCCCTGATTTCAGCAATTTCCAGTGTCTTGGCCAAGTTTTTCAATTGATCTGGCACTTATTTGGCAGCATAGTTTCTAAGGGGGTAGAAAAACTCTACGCAGAAAATTTTCAATGTAGGTCAATGTTTCGGAGTACTTCCTGATTTAATATAAAGATACCTTTTGATTTGAGGGTCTTGACCACATTTTCCCCTCGATTCGGCTAAAAATGTGCATTTAGGCTTCAAAATATATGTATATATTTTGTTATAGTCCCCATATAACAGTACATTCCAGGCCCACAGACATATATAGTAATTTGGAGCGACTGGCGGACAAACAGATGGACATTGAGGAATCGTCAGTGAATTTTATTTTACTATGATCAAAAATGTAGACTTAATGGGGACCCTAATGCTCAATTAGGGGTGCTGTGGTAATGGGTGTAAAAGAGAAGTAAACTTTGACTATTCTGAAATCATTCTGCCCTCAAAAGTAAATACCACTCAACGCGAACAAATTACAGCTCATTGGACTAAGCTGAGCTCTTACATGCTCTAACAGTTGATATATAATTTTTAAGAGATTGGTTTTTAACTCTCAAATTAAAGCCTATGGCTGAGAAATAGGACAAGGTTTTTAAAACACTTTAAGTCGACCGGTACGTGAACATGTATTGACATTTCTGCTATGGGTATTAATTTTTATTTAGTCGAGCCATTACTTATAATAAAGATTGTGCCACTTAAACGAGTCAGATCTGCGAGTTATTATGCTTTGAAAAATATGCATTAAAAGCTTAATCATTAACATAACATTAATAACTTTGATACAATTGTATTCAAATGTGTATTATGTCTGCAGGACTTTTGGTATTGAAAATGGGTGATGTAGGTCCACGTTTTGGTATAGCCCCCCATATAATGGTACCTCCCTTTTTCGGTATTTTGTTGATTCTAGTGACATTATTCACTGGAATTTGGTATTTGAAGTTCGTAAATGCTACAGACAGAAACATTTCTGATTTTAGCGACATTATTCACCGGAATTGTTTCAAATTTGGTGTTTGAAATTCGTAATGGACACTACACCCTTTGACAGAAAATTGTCGTGCAGGTCCACGTCTTCGTATAGCCCCAATACACCTAAGTCTGTTTTTACACGGTAGATTGGTTCCACAAGAAGCCGTGTAAAAAAAACCGTGTAAAAAAGACATTGATTTTATGGGTGATTTGTTCCTAATGGGTGATTTGTTCCTAATTTCTAAAACCTATTAAAATTAGTGAAAAACAAGAATTTTTAAGAACAAGAATTCATGGCTATTTTATTAAATCAAATATATAATGCTTGTGCTATTCACATTTGCTTTGACCAGTAAAAAATGTTTGTACGCGCTAAAGGGGAATTCACTTAAATCTTTAAGCTAATGTTCGCAAACTATTGATACTATCGATGGTTTCAGACTTTTTTCTTTCATAAATACTTTTTTGTGATATGAACATACTTCGCAAAAATTAAATTTGACAAAAAAAAATTAAATACATAAAATTTCAAATCGTGCTAAATGGAATAAAATCGTGTAAAAAAATTAAAAATATTCAATTTTCAAACCGTGTTATATCAAAATCGTGTACAAAAAGACAGTGTAAAAACAGACTTAGGTGTATAACGATACCTCCTTATATTCGGAATTCTGATGATTTTTTATACCCTACACCACAAGGTGGTCAGGGTATTATGTCTTTGTGCATTTGTTTGTAACAGGCAAAAGGAAACGAGATAGACCCATAGTTCCTTATGATGATCTGCATAGAATCACTGAGTTGATTTATGCATGTCAGTCCGTCTGTTCCTCCGTCCGTCCGTCTGTCCATGTATTCTTGTGAACAAAATGCAGGTCGCATTTATTATCCGATTGAGATGAAATTTTCCAAACAACATTTGTTTGGCCCAAGGACGAACCTTATTGAAATTGGAGATAATCGGTAAAAATTCAGATATAGCTCCCATATATATCTTCGTCCGATTTGCCTTTTATTGTGCACCAAACGTGTAAAATAAGCCCGAATAGTATGGAATTTTGCACATACAACCAAATTAGGCCTGAAAATAAGTATGCCAAATTTGGTCGAAGTCGGTTTAGATATAGCTATAGCTCCCATATACATTGTTCATCCGATTTGTTGTATTTATTACCCACAGCCATAATATGCACTCCGTAACAACGATATTCAGGGAAATATATCAAATACAGCTCAGAAATACCTTTGCTAAATTTTATCGAGATCGGTTCAGATTTGGATATAGCTCCCATATATAACTTCGTCCGATTTACCTTTTATTGTGCACCAACCGTCTAATATTTGCCCAAATAGGATGGAATTTGGCAGATCGGCAGATTTGGTGAAGATCGGTTCAGATATAGCTATAGCTCCCATATATATTGTTCATCCGATTTGTTGTATTTGTTATCCACAGCCGTAATATGCACTCCGTAACGACGATTTTCAGGGAAATATATCAAATACAGCTCAGAAATACATTTGCTAAATTTTATCGAGATCGGTTCAGATTTGGATATAGCTCCCATATATAACTTCGTCCGATTTACCTTTTATTGTGCACCAAACATCTAATATTTGTCCAAATGGGATGGAATTTGGCACATACGACCGAATTGAGTCTAGAAGGTAGTACGCCAAATTTGGGGAAGATCGGTTCAGATATAGCTATAGCTCCCATATATATTTTTCATCCGATTTGTTGTATTTGTTATATTTGTTGTATTTGTTGTTATATCTTTGCCGAATTTTATCGAGATCCCAAATATATCTTTATCTGATTTCAATTTAATTTTGAACCAAATGGGCAATACAAGTCCGAATTTAAAATTTAAAAGTGGAGCTCAACTAAATTAGCAAAGTGGTGTAGGGTATCATAACTTTCTTTACTGGTTTCAAGTGTCGCATTTGAATATTGTAATGTATTATGACAAAAGTTGCCTATGCAGGTCTACGTCGTCGTATAGGCCCTAATATAGTGGCTACATTCGGTATTTTTAAGATTTTAACAAAATTTTTAACGGATTTTATTTTTTTGATTAAGCAATACCTCCTGATAATGTGGGTTAATATGGATAAAATGCTGTACCTAAACGCGGTATTTTCTACCATGCCCCTCAGCATATTACCATTTGCCTATGTATACCCGAGACTACACATATTCTGTGAATGATTTGTCACATTTTGAGAGTAATGATCATTAATAATATTCAACCCTAGTGGGAGAGATAAGTGTCGAAATCTTTTACAGATATTTTAAAGTCCGTTGTTTAAATTTAATCGAATATTTACGCGCTTTCTCTCAAAATGCTAGATATTACAAAAGCTATTGTTTTACATGTTTCCCTTTGCTCAAAAAGTAGTGGTCTGATTACGCAAAATAAAAATAAATGTATTCCACAGTAGGAAGCGATGTATGGGCCGCATATGTTTGCATCCGTCATTATGTGACTTTATATCTACGAAAACCTCTCATAACTCTTAAGAACCCAATGCTTGGCATTGGAATGGAAGTAAGAAATCTAAAAATAATTACCTTAAACTTCCGACAGGTGGCGATGCATACGGTATGCCCAGATAAGCTTCAACTAATGGCGATGAACGCACCACAATGCCACGCACCAGACCGTACTTTGTCTTGATGGTATTCGTGCTCAATTTGACGCTACCGTGAAATGCATCGGATGTATGCCACATGGATGACAATAGCAATAGAAAGAACAACAACAATATTGGGGTCCGTGAACAGGATGGCGAAGATGACGACGACGATGTTGATGCTGAGGCCGAAGAGAAGAATGACAAAAGCCCGGCAAGACGTGGCGAGGAGGAGATGAGAGTGTTGTTGGATAATTTTAGGTGGAAATTTGAATGATGACAATGTTTAAAATGTGGAAGCACAGACGTTAAAGAAGAAGACAACGACAACGACGACGACGAAGAAGAAGAAGAAGGAACAGGCATTTGTCTTGTCTTCATTGTTGGCTTCAATGTGTTGGACAATGCTGCCGACACTTGAAGCCAGCTTGATGGAATGTTTGCTGCATCAGCATTCGTTGGCGTATGAAAGTGTACGGTTCCAGCCGTTGCCTTAAAGGATCCCATGGATTTGTTGGTCTTAGAATGTGTGTTGTAAAATGCCGCCGAATTTATTGTTTTTGTTGTTGTTGCTGCTGTGTCACTTTTGGAAACTTGAGAAATTCTTTGGGGTAATACATTACACCCATCTTGCTGTAGACCTTCATTATCACAACCATTATCATTTAAATGTGGAAGTACGGTGGAATTTGTGTTGCTTTTCTCATAGCTGCCGCTACTGCTGTCAGTTTTGTTGTTGTCATTGCTCTTGCTGCCGTAAACTGTAGTCTTTGTATGCTCCGTTAGCTTTGTAAGATATTTGAAATTTCTTTTTTGTAACACTAACGGATATCCGTGTAGCTGCCAAGAACAAGGAGGAGACAGGACGTACTGGCACTTCGATTCCTTTTGGTGGTGTAAAGTGGACGACGGCGTCGTCGCCTGTTTCTGCCCGTATTTACGTCCTGCATTGGGATGTTCATTTAGCAGTTGCTTACAAACAAGATAATATTTATTATTATCATAATGTTGGCTTGCTGGCTGAATAACTTCATGTGCTTGTGTTGTTGTTGTTATTGTTATTGTTGGTGCTGTTGCTGCTCCTGTCGCGCGGAATTGTTTGTATTTGGCTTGGTCTTCCGTTTTATTTTCTTGGTTTATTTTATGTGTTAAAATAGAGTCCTTAGAACTTGCCAATGTTTTCAAGCGAATTCGTTTAACAGCTAGACTTGGAAAAGTTTTTTCATTACTAGAAGTATGTTGTTCAGCCAAGAAAGTCCCTACTGCCAATTTGGCTGGTGCATGCCGCCGATGTTGCCACTGGAACATGAAGAGTTCTCTGTGTTCTAAATTGGTGGTGGAGAGCACACATACCTTTGCTCTAATTATACTTGCTGCACTAAATAGCATTGCCTTGGCAAGTTTTCGCCTTCTCAGCATAACTCGATTATGGGTTAGAGGCACCGAGCTATGTCCATTCATGTTAAACTTTTTTAGTTTAATGAATTTCGTTGAGAACTCGAATTCGAAGGCTTTTCTTTCGCTATCGATTTTCGTTCCAAGTGCATTCACAATTTTCGGGGAGGTGTACCCAATATTTTGGGTTGCAATTCCGGTTACTCGCGTTATCCTGAATATTGTGTAAAATTTTAAATTTAGAGTTTCCAACTCAATTAATGACTTGGGAAATCTTTGCGAGAATAAAGCATCTTTAGTACTTCGAATTTTGAATATATCCAATTGTTGTGTTTTGCTCATTAAACCATTTTCAGTTAGTTTTTTCAAATATTTTAATTTTATGTCTTTGGTATTTGAACGCCGTGTGTTTTCTCTTAGCACCAACGCTGTTCCATGTAGATTTTTATTTTCTTTTGTTTTGAGTGGTTCCTTATTTTCTGTTTTAGGAATTTGTTTTTCTTGTTGTTGTTGTTGTAATGTTGTTAGTTTTATCAGTCTTATGGGGCAAATTCCTAATATCCTTGCTACTCGTATCGGTATTACACTTAAACTTAATTTATTTTGGAGATTTGGCAAAAATGTTATAAATAACTTGGCAATATTTATTATTTGTATAACGTTGGCAACACTGACAACAGTCAACCACCTACAGTACAGTATGGCCAGACTATTTATAAGTTTTACTTTTATTTGATTTAATAGATTCAATGGATTTTTTATAATACATTCATATTGACGTCGAAGATGAGCATGCTGCAGCAGAATGAAATAGGTTCCCAAATTTAACCATACTCTAAGTTGATGGAGGAAAATATTTGATGTTGTGTTTAACTTTCCCTTTAATTCGTTTTCTTTTTGTGTTTGATCTTCTGCTTCATTTTCCGGGGAATGGAAATTTTGATTCTTCGTTTTTGACATTTCGTTTGAACTCTGAACTGATAACTTGTGCAGGGTTGCGCTTGTCGTCGTTGCGTTTGTTCCAGAGATGATGACCAATCGTTGGCTTTGATCTCGTTTTTCATTTTCACTGCTGTTGTGCTGTTTTTTAGACATCTCATTGTTGTTGTCCTCGTAAACATTTTGTTGTCCTAATGTATTGATGGCAAATATTATACAATGGGATATGCACTTTCTAGTCGGTTGCTGTTATCCTTGTTTACTGCAAAAGCCGTTTGTGTCCTTGCCTATTTAGTATTCGTTCGATGTCCTGTGCTACAGCTTATGGACCTGTCAGTTACTATTATTTTTTATATTACTGATAGTTATTGCTCTTCTTGGACTGGTCACAAGATACGGAGGAACTTTGTCAATATCCCTGTTCCTACGGCTGGTGTTACAATACTTTTGTGTTTTTTCGTCACACACACAGCGGCGAGGGATCTTGCTGATTCTGCAAAGAAAAAGTGAAAAGTATTCGGATGAGTCGACTGAAATACTTGCAGCTAAAAATCATGGTGATATTTTTTAAGATATATGTACATATGTATGTATGTATGTTGTTTGGAACAAATGTTGTAAATAGAAAGCTAGTCAAGTGTGTGTGTGTGTGTGAAAATGTGTAGATGCTTAACATGTATCATTTCCAAGGGAGCATCCATTCTGGGTAATGCAATATCCATAGCCATGTTATGGGAATTCTCAACAATTGCAGGCTAACTGTCTTGCAATTTTTGTCCTTAGCAAGGCCAAACGGGCTTAGAAAGTCAAAGTTCATTTGTAAAGTGACCAATAAATGTGAAATGAAAAGAAAACAAAAAAATCTATTCCTCATACAAAAGCAACAGACAAAAAATCTAATGCTGTTTTATATCCTGTGACCTGTTGTCATTCCAATTGTTTCCTTTTACAGGCAATATTGTTGTAATTGCAATGACACATTTCTATGGGGTATTTATTTGAATTGTTCGAATACAATGGATTTTTTCTCATTTAATATTGACAATATACATATGTATGTATGCATACATGTACACATGGCGGCGATGTGCACTTAGGTATGTATGTGCTTTTCTACCAAAACACACAATTTCAATTGCCATGGCCTGTACTAAATCTCAAAGGATCACCTATGTGTGTTATTTCGTTGAACTGCAATCCATTTGTCGACAACTTTTGTCGGGAGATTTGTATTTATTGAAAACGTTTCCTTTAGTTGTAACCTTTGATAGATTACAAAGTGGGAGAGGAAGTAATTATAACCTTAATTGTTCAGGAATAATTATTCCTTAATAAGGAATAACGTACTTTCTTTATAACCAAGTAATGAGTAACGTCAGCACATAATGTGTATTTCCGGCTACAAAACCGAAGGTTGCCAGTTCGTGACTCCACCTGGGTAAACGAAGAAAAATATAAAAGGAACAAGTTGAGGTATTAATGAAGAATATCTATATGTTCACAAATGCTGCACCGTGTGTAGTTTGCCACAGATAAAACAAAAAATGGAAAGTAAACCCATTATTTGGAATGGAAATTTTTGCTGGGGAGCTAACATGAATTTATTCAGATCAATTGCAATGTCATGAAAATACGTTCATTTACAATTTTCTTTGCTATTAAGGATATATGTATTCTTTTTAATGTCGAATTTCCAAATATTTTGGCTTAAATTGGAATAGTATGGAAAATAGGGAAGAACATTAATGTTTACTACCTTAATGCAATTTAAATAATTTGGAAGGCATGTTGCATTATTTTGATAGTTTCCTTATCACACATAGGGTTTACCATTATCAATGGTCTCCTAAGGATGTATACACATTTGCTATCTCAATAATGATAAAATAGAGAAAAAAAAACCCGACACCCATATAATGTGACCGAATCACTGCGTAGCCCCGTCTTTGATTGGGTGAATTTTTGGAACTTAGTCTTAATCTTATTTTTAAGTTATAAATAAAATGTAAATAAAAGTGTGATATTTAGGACAACAACGCAATAAATATCTCTAGTTATGTCATGCTTTTAGGGAAATTACTTGTATGGAATGGAGTGAGAAGAAGAATATTTTTATAAGCCAGATAGATCTGAATGTTTGTATTAGATTTGAGCGGGTAAAAAGCTATGTAATCAAAATAAATTTCAGTACAGGATCATGTTTTGACATGAAAGTCAAATCTAAACTTCGCATATAAGTTTTAGTTAGTTTGAAATTGGAGGAGACATATAAAATATTGAATATGCTATAGGAAATAGTTAATCTCTATATTGGATAATTATACCCTACAACACTATGCGTTGGCGGAATTATAAGTTTGATTGGGCCAAAAATTATGTCACACCTCGATATATTGGTCCTGCACACAGGAAACTATGTATCGATCTTCCTATCTCGCCGAGCTGTGTCTACCCAGCTATGTATGTCCTTCGATCGTCTGTCCATATTAATATGTAATCAAGCTACCGGTCGCGATTATGACCCGATCCTCATGGTCGCAAAATATTTAGGAGTTGAAATGGATAAAAAACAGAAAAAAATCTTGATTTTACAGGCCACAATTAAAGACGAATCGATGCGGAGTTTGAGTTTAGGGCGGGTAGAAAGAAGCCTATCAATATGGATGGTCATCGTTCAATATTTAGCGGGTTAAATAAACCATAACTTTTATGTGAAAAAATCCACTAAACCGCGAATATTTTTAGTCCCGGCGAAATCACAAATACATTAAATGGTCACTTCTGACGATTTCCGTGATGCTGATATGGGATATAAAGCAAAATAGGTACAATATATACTTAAAAGAAATATTCTTGTTATTCAGCTTATAAGTCCGAATCACTGGACTGATTTTCACAATTCTCATCAATTCGGAAAGGTCTAAAAAGGAAAGAATAAAAAAGTGAATATTTTTTCTTAATTTTTTTTTTCAATTTTTGTCATATTTTTGATCGCATTCGATTTTTTAATTTGACTTACAATTTTGAATTACATTGAATTTTCTGAAGTTTTTCTACACCCAGCAAAACTATGTGTTGAGGGTATTACATACAGGTTGCAATTATCGTCCGATCCTCGCGGAATTTTGCATGGGGGTAGGGTTAGGATCAGAATTAAAGTCTATTGTTATGGTAATGTACATTTAGAGTTTAAAATGGACCAACAATTTTTTTTCTGACTTTGTAGTCTCTCAACAGGTCACAGTTGAAAACGAATCGGCAAGGAATTTCGCATGAGAAGAGAGTTAAGGACAGGGAAGAAGTCTAACATTTTGTATGACCAGTGGATTATATTTAGCTATAAAATGGACCTCAACTTTCATGTAAAATTGTTTTGAATGCCTATCAACACGACGGTGGGCGTAAATATTGGGCAAATGCTCCCGGTCAAAACGTAAAGGTAACGTGTGGGCAGGGCTCTCTGACATCATTTCTAAAATGGATTTTGGACATAAGGTTGCTTCCAACGTATCGAAGTGGTTTAGGGTATCACAAGGTCGGTCCCGCACGTCTATAGCCATTCCTTACTTGTTTATTACTACCTTCGGTTTTGTAGTGGGACACGTACACTCTATGTCGAAGTTACTCATTACATGGGAATTTTCTCCTTTATTTTGCAGTTAATTGTTAATTGTCATTCCCTATGTTACACCTCGAAGCATACATTTAGACCCACAAAGTTAATGTTATTTAGTTGTATTTTAAGTCCGCAGGACTTTTGGTATTGAAAATGAGTTTTATAGGTCCACGTTTTGTACCGACCCCTTATAACTGTACCTACAGTTATTCTTTTTTTTTTGGTTTTGTTTTTGTCACAATTTGTGTGGAGTATGTGTTTCCAGTATATAGGAAACACTGTCGCAGAGAACTGTACTATACATATATAGCATCACAGTTTTCACCAGAATTGTTTAAAATTTGGTATTTAGAGTTCGTAATGGGCCATGTAGGTCCATGTTTTGGTATAGCCTCCATATAACGGTACCTGCCGATATTCGGTATTTTGATTTTTGCGATAATATTCACCGGATTTCTTTCATATTTGGTATTTCAAGTTCGTAAAGGATGCTACAGCCTATGACAGAAAATTTTTTGTGCAGATCAACGTCTTCGTATATTCCTAATATAACGGTACCTCCCGATATTCGGAATTGTTTCAAATTTGGTATTTGAAGTTCGTAATAGATACTACAGCCTAAGAAAAAAATTGTCTGTACTGGTTCACGTCTTCGTATAGCCCCCATATAACTATACCTCCCGATATTCGGTACTTTGTTGATTTTAGTGACATTATTAACCGGAGTTCTTTAAAATTTGGTATTTAATGTTCGTAGTGCCTATGACAGAAAATTTTATGTACAGATCCACGTCTTCGTATATCCCTAATATAACGGTACCTCCCGATATTCGGTATTTTGTTGATTTTAGCGACATTATTCACCGGAATTGTTTCAAATTTGGTATTTGAAGTTCATAAGGGATACTACAACCTAAGAGAGAGAATTGTGTGTGCAGGTCCACGTCTCCGTATAGCCCCCCATATAACGGTACCTCCACATATTTTGATGATTTTAGCTACATTATTCACCGCATTTGATTATTGTAATGGCTTATGACAAAAGTTACCTATGCAGGTCCATGTCGTCGTATAGACCATAATGTAACAGCTACATTCGGTTTTTCTAAGATATTACCAGAATTTTTAACGGATTTTATTGTTTTTGAGAATTGCCAAATTCGTTCCAAATGGTGGAGGGTACTTATAGCTTTTTTACTTGTTTATATCTTCTACTCTACTGAGAGAGTAAATCCGTTCGTAACAGCTCGAAATAATTGTTTAAGACCCCACAATTAGCACATTGTTGTGATCAGCATTAAATCGATGTCCATCTGCCAGTCTGTGGAAATTACTTTAGCTTCCGAACGGAAGGTCGATAAAAATGTTGGCTTAAGAAGAGGGTCATGTGGTTTCATGTTTTGGTACAGCCTTCTGTACGAGGGTATTTTTGGGGGTTAAGCTATAATTTCAACCAAATTCGTATGCTTTTAGAAAGTTACTGAGTGTTTGGAGGGCGTTTTGTCGAAACCACAGTAAATTTTCGACCAAATTTGTGCATCAATTTAAAGTTTCGATGTGTTAATGGATTCTATTTAATTCCAAGACACTGTGTTCGAAGCATAATTATAGCTTTGATGTAAGAGAAAACGACATCTTTGCAATCCGCTTTCAAAATAATTTAAACATTTATAGGCGACCAATCGGTGTTGGAAAATGAGCCCAAGGCAAAGGTTCCATTTTTACAGTATCTTGATTCTTTTCGCATCGCCGTAAAGTAGAGATTATAAGCGGAACAGTTGAGAGTATATTCGTTACATAAGTACCAAGTTGTTTTAGTAGAATTCGTCCAAGCCCAAATAAACCTTCAAGTTTTTCTTTTAAATGTAAAATAACAC